GTGACAGGTCAAATTCCATGTAGGTAAATATAAGGCAATGCATATCTGCAGGAGCAACTGAAACTATTTGTACATTTTGGTAGGTTCTCAATCAGCTGTAATCTCTTAAGAACACAATGTAGATAGCAATCAGTATAGACATTCATTGAACCAATCATAAGCTGTCTTTTTTAAAAAAAGGAATGAGATGTCAGATTGTTCCAAGATAGAAACAGAAAACAATGTGGGGACTATTTTAATTTCATCATATTAATTTAAAAGTATATTGCTACTCTGAATCCTGATTTTAATTTGGTGTTCTCGTCTCCTAAGTAATAATATGTCTGTATTTGGGTAATAACTTTTCACTTAATCGTCTCAAAATATTTTTAAAACAAATAAATTTTATGAAGTGAAGTACTCAAAGCAGAAGTGGTATGCAAGGAAACCAGGTAGAGATAATTCATGGGATTGAGACATACGATATTTCAAAGAGAGTGAGATTTCCCTTTTACCTTCCACAGAGAGCAAAGTTATACTTTAACTCAGAAGGAGAGGCAACATAAGTACCCATAGCTTGGCCAGGAGGATACTAGGTGAAACAGAATTAAAAGCTCACATTCCTCATCTTTTGTTTCTCCATCTTTCCTCTCAGGCATTCGACCCACACCACTTAGTCACCTTAACACACAATCTTCTTTCACTTAGATCTTAGCTGAGGAGAGCCACTCAAAGTCTAAAAGACCCTGAGAGATTCACCAAGGTGAATCAGTTAGGTTTAATAAGAGAAACAAATTTGAAAGAAGTATTTGTATGGGTTCTACTGACCTTCCAACACCCTATGAAATCAAAGTTTCCATGGCTCATTTTAATTTGGTGACCATAACTCCCCAAATATGAGGCTTTGATTTTCCTCTCAGGGGATCTTTCTGCTTTGTTCAGCACCAGTTAGTGCAGTCCTGTATAAACAACCCAAGAAAGTAGGGGAGGGGGAAGGGATCCGAAGACATACAAGGATTTGCCTGGCTTCTGAATTACTGCTCCTTTCCGTTGCCTTCTGAACTCACCCACTCCTAACAAAGTCCAAGTTGAGCTGTGACCTAGTCACCTCCTTTCTCCACCTTGATACCAACCATAAGCTGTGGCATTTGGTCAGCGCTTTCTTCGTAAGGCAGACATTGGATCCTGATTTCTGCCTCCCCTTCATGTCTTCTCAATGAGACTGGGCGATGTGGTCATTCCTTTGGCCTCAGAGTAGAGCACAACAGCCTGTAACTTTCCCTTTTGTTCATAGGATCATGGATTTAGAGAGGGGAGGGACCTCAGAGGTCGTCCAGTCCCATCTCCTCCTTTTGGATATGAGAGAATGGAAGCCCAGCGGGGTTAAGTGATTTGCCCAGTGTCCCACAAGGAGTTAGCATCAGAGGAAGGATTTGAGCACCTATCTGCTGGCTCCAGAGCCGAGGCTCTCCCCGTTGCGCCATTCTGTCTCCAATTGAAATCTCTTCTTGGATCTGCCTATAAGAGGAGTCAGAGACTGCATCAGGCAAAATTATGATATAGGCCTTATTTAACTCTGGTACTCTCTCCCCTCTCCACTCAACGTCCCTTTCTCGGAATCCTTTCATCCTCGGCCCATGCAACTTTTGTCTAGCACCATCTTGCTTACTTTCTCTACTTCACCACCACCTAGCCAGGCAATCTTCATACTTTTCAATAAAATATATCTGTCTTTTTTCCCCCTTGAAGTCATGTGACCCTGAAAAGCAGGCCTCAGTCCCTGGCCTCTGTGTCCATTTGTTTCTTTTTCCTTCTAGGTGAAAGTATTGGAGCCTCTTATCTTCTGAATTCTAAAATTCACCTCTGTCATTCCATTATTCCAGAGTCTGGGTTTGCAAACAGCACAACATTGATGACCCAAGGAGTGACATTCAGGAGTGGACTTCAGGACCCAGACCAGCAGTAGCTGAGATAAGGATTCATGCAGTAGCAATACTATCTTTGAATGTGAACTTGGTGAGACCAAAGCTAAACACAAACTGAGAGAAGCTTGGGCCTACCACCTCTGAGAAGCTAAGGTGGTATAGGGTGAAGTATGCCCTTGAGGTATTACAGGGGAATGTTTGTTACTTTTTTCTTATTATATCTTCAGAGTTAATATCCCTTTGTAGAAGTTTTTTTTTTAAATAAATAAATGTATCTATCTCATATCTTACTCCCCTGGAGCCCAAAGCTCTTCTAACTAATCCAATAAACTTAACCGTCCTAATGGAAGAAAATTTAAAAACTATTCCAGATAACATGTAATATGTATGTAATTTTAGCTGTGGCATGCTAAAGATAGATATTCCCATCTTTCTTGCCTGAGTCATTAAAGGATCTTTTGGTTAGAATTACAGAAGATGCAGGATTACATATGTGACTATAAATTACAGATAAAGTGGTAACCTATAATGGTAGAGGGAGTTTTCTCATTTGGTAATTCCCTATTCTGAGGCAGTTAGGTGGAACAATGGACAAAGTGCTGGTCCTAGAGTCAGGAAGACTCTTCTTCCTGAGTTCAAATCCAGTCTCAGACCCCTACTAGCTGTGTGACCCTGGGGAAGTCACTTAACCCTATTTGCCTCAGTTTCCTCATCTGGAGAAGGAAATGGCAAACCACTCCAGTATCTTTGCCAAGAAAACCCCAGGAATGGATCATGAAGAGTTGGACATGACTGAAAAATGACTAAACAACAAAATTCCCTATCCCATAGAAATCACAGACTGGGTGCTATCCCTAAACACACACATCAAAGACATGTATATGTATGTACATTATCTTCCTAGGCCTAAAATACTGGGAATTATATGTGTGCATACATGAGGGGGCTACTCATTCTATTTCCCTGAAATTGCAAACATGAGTATCATCTACTCTGCTCAATAGGTAAGTGAATCACAAAGATTTAGAAAATGGGCATATAGGGTTAAAAATTGTAGGACCAATTATCTGGCTTGGAATAACAACAATAACAACAAAAGTCTGGCAGTGTGTAAAGTGGAAAGAACCCTGGACTGGAAGCTCAAAGACCTGGGTTCTAGTCAACTTTGCTACTAGTTAGTTGCATGACCTTTAGTGGATCACTTAGACTCTCTGGACCTCAGTTTCCTCCTCTGCAAAGTGAGTAAATTGGACTAGATGATCTTGAAACACCCTTCCAGCTTTAAGATTTTATTGCCTGGGGATGAGTTAATAGACTTCAAGCATAAGATGAATCTTTATACAAGAGCCATGAAACAAAAGAAAAAAATTGGCTTAAACTCCAACATGAGAAATTTAGATCAGATAATGTTTAAATGAAATAAAATTAGATTACATTAAATAAAATAATTTCTAGGTAGTAAGTTGTTAAATACAAATGGGTCCCCATGGGAAAGTTAGAGAATCTCCAGTCATTAAAAACTGGCAAGATTATTGCCTACCCAGGTTGGCTTGTGTGGTCCACTTAATACTTTTAAACTCTAGGAGACAAGTGAACTTGTCAATACCAGTATTTCCTCTGATAGAGCATATTTCAATTCATCCATGCCTGCCCCTCTAATGCAACTTTTGTGTGTTTTCTCCCATAAATTTGTCACATGGGGTCTGCCTGAAATGCTGAGAATCTTCCCAACAATCTCTTGACATTGTGAAGACACCAGTGTAATATGCTGGTAGTCTATAGGTTATGCCTCATTCTTATTACAAAAGTTTAAGAACAAATAGAATTTTCATAAGATGTAAAATCTGCCAAATACTCATAACCCAGTCTATATGGAATAAAAACCACCCAAAATCTAAAGACCCAGGCAGAATAAGTCAGAACAATGTGGAAATAGGAAAAAGTACGCATCATCCCCATCACCCCGTTTACTGCCAGAGCTGTCCTAACGATGTTTAAGGGATGATGTTTTCAGTAGGTGAGCCAATATCCCAATGTTTTTATTCAATTATAAAAAAAAATCATTTTATCCACATATAATATGAATCCTGAAAAAAAAAGTAAGACAATATGATAATCTGCCCAAAATGATAAAGGATAATAAATCTAGGACTAGAAGAAACCTCAGAGGTCCTCTGGGCCAACTCCCTCACTTACAGATAAGGAAAATGAGTCCCAGAGATATTAAAGTGAGCAACTTGCCCAGAATCATGATAGATAGTAGCAGATATGGGATTTGAACTCAGGTCCTGAGGTATCATAGTTTGCCAGTCAAATTCAGCACTCTTTGGTGACTTGTACCAGAACTAGTTCTATTGTTTATAAGATTAGAGGAGAAAAGTATTAATAACAGCAAATCACTTTTCTACAACTCTTTTTCATTTCACAAACTGCTTTCTTAACACTGTGAAGCTGGTAGTACAAGTATTATTCTTACTACTTCTTGGATGCAGAAATAGAGAAACAGTCATAAGCCTAGTATATTTAATTCTATAATTTGTTAATTATAGGTATTGATTATGTGCTGTGTGGAAAACAATATGTAAGATGCTGGACAAAATTCTTGCCCTCAAGAACTTTATATATAACATGTAAAAAGTTAGGCAACTGCAATGTAATTTGAGAAAGGACAAGAACAAGAATGGATTCCTTCTCTAAGAAGTGACACCTGAATTTAGCCTTGAAGGAGGCTAAGATTTTTTTTTTGAGGCAATCGGGGTAAAGTGACTTGCCCAGGGTCACACACTAGTAAGTGTCTGAGACTGGATTTACACTCTGGTCCTCCTATTCCAGGGATGGTGCTTAGCCACCCTTCAAGGCTAAGATTTTAAAGAGGTGAACATGAGGAGGAAGTGCTCTAAAAAGCAAGATAAAAGCCTATGCACAAAGGCAGGAGATAATATGAAGAATCAGATGAAACATAAATACAGGAGTTTGTCTCAAATGTTCATACTCTGCTGAACGAACGATAAGTATTTATTAAACTCTCAGTATATGAAAAGCATTACAGTAGGCCTTAGTAATATAAATACAAAATAAAAAGTCTTTACTCTCAAGGAATTTGCATTCTTTTTTTTAATTACTTTTTAAAATTAACAAAAATCAATAATCTCTTCTTCCACCCTACCTCCCATTAAAAAAAAAGAGGAAAAACAAAACCTTTATAACAAATATACATAGTCAAGTAAAAAAATTCCCAACTTAGTCATGTCTGTACCCTGAGTCCATCTTTGTTAGGAGGCAAATAACATGCTTCATCACTGGTCCTCTGGAGTCATGGATGGTCTTTGTGTTGATCAGAGTTTTTAAGGCTTTCAAAGTTAGTAGTTTTAACAGTGTTGTTTTTACTGTATAAATTGATCTCTTTGTTCTGCTCACTTCTCTCTGCCTTAGTTCATGAGACTTCCCAGATTTCATTGAAACCATCCTTTGACTGAAACCATCCCTTGCATCATTTTTAATCACACAATAGTATTCCATTACATTTATATGCCATAATTGGTTCATTGGTCCCCTAAATGAGGGCTATCTTAATTTTCAGTTCTTTGCTACTACAAAAAGAGCTTCTCTCTTTCCTTTGATCTCTTTCAAATATAGGCCTAGTAATGAAGTTGGAAAGGGGGACTGTAGTATTCCTTCTAGCCTCACTCCCCACCCATCTTGCTGCCCTCTAGTATAAATGCAAGGTTCTGATTTCTCAAGATACATCTGAGCCTGGAGTCCTCTACTACTTGACTGGTCTGCTATTGGCCTGAGTAACTGCTGAACTTCCACTATGTCCCCAGAGACATTGTTATCTCATTAGCTTGGTCTATCACAATTTTCCCTTCTTGATCCAATCAAGGATATCTCTGCCTAGAAAAGATATCACAAGGTGTAAACTATCTTGTTTACACATTTAAAAGTTCATCAAGGTTTCATATTATGTTCAATTAATTGAAATTGTTGTATGGAATCTATTTCCTTACTTAAAGAAACTATTGTAAGTTATTAATTTCCAACATAATTCCCATTTTCCTTGAAGGGAAGGTTGTTTTATTTTTGGCTTTCTATCTTCAATGCCTAGAAAGGTGCCTTGCACATAGTAGGTATTTAATGCTTATTGAGGGAAACTCATGAATTACTAATGTAATTTACTATTCACGGTGGGAGGGGAGTGAGATGTAAGCCCAAAACCTAAAACTTTACAGGACTTAATTTCACATCATTTTCTACTTATAGCTCCACCTTTTCCTTGTTCCTTATCAATGTAATTTGTAGCACTGTGGAGCTTCTTGGATAAAGGCTGGTGGGAAAAGGAGTTATCATTATGATTAGTCTTCTTTCTTTCTCCTCTATCAGAATGACTATTGAGAGCCAAATTTGGGCAACCAGTTAATTATTCTAATAATTATTTCTACTCTTAATTTTATTCTGTTTCTCTAGAAGTCTTGCCAACATGGAGTTGAAGAGAGAAAAAATCTGGACTTACTAAGCAGAATATAGAACACAATCCTAGAATTAGCTATAATTATTAAAGGCTGTGGTGGGAGGCTCTAATGACAAGATAAACTCATCTGTTCCTTTAGTGTGGTCTGCCATGTTGGTTACCCTTGATATTCAGAACCTAATATACAACAAAGAAATCCAAGTACAGATGTTGGCAGTTAGACAAAAACCTTATAGCCAAAGAGATCCTTCCATGTTGTAAGTGGCAATCAGATTACTTTCAAATGTTTTAAATTCTAACAGGGGGTTAATTCCAAACTAACTTGATTCTATTTCTGCATTAATGCTTCTAAAAATCTGCTTTTATAATTTCTGCTTATCAAGGATTGCCCTTCTGGTGTAATAACCGAGCCAAGACTCAGTTATCAAATACTATGAAGGGTTCTGTTAATTAGATAGTTTATCTGTGATGAGTTGTTGACATTGAGATGATGTGTGTTAAATAATTTAAAAATATTCTGTGGGACACTAACTTGGTAGCTTGGGAGCATTGTTCTTCCATTTTGCAGACCCAGCTTTAGGTCTAGCTAGAAGCCCTCAGCACAAATGAATGCAACAGTTGCAGCACCTTCCTTAAATACCGAATCATTCTGATTTCAAAATCATAGGTGAGAAAGAATAAATCTTCTTGCACTACATTTGTCAGCTCTAGACTGTGCTAATTCAGACTCTTTCATATGCTGGCTGGTCTTTAACTGCTCAGTAAAGACTGCCAGAGAATTCAACACTGGCAGTTATTAAACACATTTTCAAGATTTGCTCTTTTCATATGATCTCTTTCAAAAAGCTTTTTTTCTTTTTCTTTCTTTTTTTCTTTTCTTTCTTTCTTTTCTCTTTCTTTTTTCTTTTTTTTTTTTTTTGGCAATTTTCTCTGGCGCTTTTCTTTCCTCCAAATAGGGCAATCCAGGAGAAATCTCTGAATGGAGTACTTTTCTTTTTTTCCATGTAGGTAAATTAAAGCTCCAGCTGTTAGGGGCCTTTCTTCCTTTCTGTCATTTTTCTTTTTCAAGTTATGGTCTGTGAAAGCAGAGGGCAGTCCACAGGGGATGGCTTAGAGCCTTGGAAGAAGCTGCTACCTTTGCATTTTCTAATGGGGAAAAAAAAATTGGATGCTAGTCTTTAACATCAGGAAACACTCTTAATTAGCCCACAGTTGTTAAAAGAACAAATCATCTTTTATTATCTTCCTGATTTGTTTTTTGGCTCCTTGTTCTCCCTTTCACTTCATTTTTCAATTCTCTAATCTCGCCATTTTCCTTTCACACTCACTCTATGCTATTGAAAGCATGATTTGGTCTGGAGCAAGCTTAACTATTAGGATAAGGATTCTTCTGCTGATAATTTTTAAGCGGTCCGCATGTCAATTTCACCATATGTGGATGTGATAGAAAGAAAGATATGGTGCTCACCCTGAAAGAGATTACAGATACAAAGTATTATGCATTGGATATACAAATGAAAGCATTTGGCAAGAACTTTTACTAATGACAATAGCTAGAATTTGTATCGAGTTTTAAGCTACATAAAGCACTTTTCACTAGTTAGCTCATTTGATCCTAATCTACCTTTTCTTGGTTCACTTTTTTCTAACGATATCTATCATCAAGTATTTATTAATGAGCCTTCTAATATGTTAAGCACTGTATGGATAAAAACACAATAGTAAAACAATCCTTGTTCTTAAGGAGCTTCACATTTTTTTGCTTTAAGAAAGGGAGAAATAAAGTATAAAGGAAAATAGTAGGTATTAGTTAATGGAAAGACCACTAGAATAAGAGAATCTTCTAATCTCACACTTGCTACTATTAACTGGATAATAATCTATGAACATAGTTGAGCTAACCTGAAAATTAAGATGTTGCACTAAGTTATTTCTAAAGTACTTTCCAGTTTTGATATTTTGTGAATCTATAAAATGTTACCCAAATGACTTTTCTTCTAAAATAGCACATGAATTGGTTGGCCGAAGGTGATGAGTTTTTCAACCATGGCAACTCTTGAAGACAATATATTAGGTTACAGTAGGGTTGTAATAACCATGGAAGTACCCATGCAGAGATCCTTGATGTCTCTGAAGAGTGAGATCCTTTAAGCATTAATGCTCCTGCCTAAACTGCAGGCACTCTCAATTTCCTAGCTAGCAAATGCATCAGTTATTCTGAAATTCATGCCCCTCTTAGTCTATTACCTCAACTTCCCCTCATCTACTCAGAAGTTAAACATTCTTCAGATGTCCTCAGAGTTTAAAAGGAAGCTACAAATGCTAGTCATTGTGTGATATTGTTGTTATAATTTTATCATTATTAAAATGGATATTGTCATTGGCTGCCTCCATTATACTAGTACTCCGATTTAATAAATATAAAGGGCAAAAGTTTTTACATTAGTGCAATATGTTGACGCAGAATTGAGAACATGATAGGTCTCTTGAAGTATTTGATAGACTATCGAGTGAAAGATGGATTAGTCACACTCTGCTTGGTCCAGAGGGAAAAACTGAGAGCAATGAGTAGAAAGTGAGAGACAGATAGATAGAAAGATGGATGGATGGATGGATGGATGGATGGATGGATGGATGGATGGATGGCATTTATTAAATGTTGATTATGTGGTAGACATTGTGCTAAATCCTGGAGTTTCAAAAACAAGAAAACAACATAGTCCCTGCCCTCAAGTAGCTTGCATTCTAAGGGAAGACAAAACACAAAGATCTGGAAAGCAGAGAGGGGAAGGAGAGGGGAGTTACATGAAGGTAAGATTTCAGCAAACACAGAACAACTTCCTAACAGAGCTGTCCAAAACTAGAATGGACTTCCTTGACAGGTAGTGAGTTCCTCATCAATGAAATTCTTCAATTGGAGATTATAAGATCACTTAACAGGAATATTGTAAAGAAGATAATTAGTTTAGTAATGGATTAGACTAGACAAACTTTTTTTTTAGTCAATTGGGGTTAAGTGACTTGCCCAGGGTCACACAGCTAGTAAGTGTCAAGTATTTGGTCTGAGGCTGGATTTGAACTCAGGTCCTCCTGACTTCAGGGCCAGTGCTCTATCCACTGTGCCACCTTGCTGCCCCTAGATAAACTTGTGAGGGCTTTTTCAACTCAGATTCTGTGCCTTTTACTTCACCTTTGCATAGCTTCCTCTATCCATTGATTTATGTATATTAATGTTCTGTTTCCCATATTTGTTTAAATAATACAGGGTATAGTAGCAAAGAGACCATAGCATAGTTAATTAGACAAAAATCAAGTTACTGCTCAGAATCTGGTGCCCAGTGGCCTAACTGGAGTCATCAGCTCTTTTTAAGCTCCCTTGCTCCTTTTCCTTCAAACTTTCCCTGTCTCTTAAGATTCCCTTTGTCCTATCAATGCTTGTCTGTTACATAAACACTGCTATCACCTCCAACTCTAAACTACTCCTGTCTCCAGGAGTCATGCATGCTAGGAGAAAAAAAAAATCCTTGTTTTTTTCATTCCATGTTTTCTGGATAAGAAAATTTAAAGTCCCAAGTCTCGGGGTAGCCTATGATTCCTAAATATATAGCTGGAAGAATGTTTCTCCTTGGTGTAGGTACACAGTAGAAAGGTTTTCAGTTGCCCCTTGAAGCATCAGGTACTAGACGTTACCCAAGGCTGCCTGGAGCAGATGGGACAGCCATTCATTCTACCAGCTCTTCTATTTCCTTTCTGCTCTGAACCAAGTCAATGGCTTCTCCTTTTCCCCCAATTCAGATTTAACCTTCTCCTTACCACTATGGCTCCCTCTGATTACAAGCCCCATTTTAGAAAAACAGCACAGTCCAGTAGCTAATAAAGGCTATGAAGTGAGAGGTAGAAGACAAGTCTGCTTCTCCTTCCTTTCAGGGCCATGTGTGCTACCTGGTCCAGTTCCTATCTTCACCTCCATCTTTTCCCTTATGCTTTGTTTTCGCTAGGAATTGTAGAAGAATGAATGTCAATATCCATATGCATTTGTATAACATTAAGTGGCATTACTTATTTCTCTGAGATATGGGACTCGCAGCTAGAGCTTCCTTTCACTGAATCAATCAAAATAGCACATTTCAAATTTCCATCTACAAAGCATTTTGTTCAAAGCAAATACATTACTATCACCAGCTTCCTTCAAAAGCATTCTATTTTCCAAGTGAGCCATTAGGACAAAAGTGAATCACGCAAGGCCATATAGAAAATGTATATTGGACCCAGTGTGAGTACATAGATTCCTTCCTTCAAGCTATAGCTTTTTCCTTAAATCTGATATGTTTCAGTTATTAAGCTTTTCATACTCTTTGACCCTGTGATATCACTACTAGGTATATACCCAAAAGAAATCAAAGAAAGAGGAAAATGACTCATATATACAAAAATACTTACAGTAGCTCTTTTTGTTGTAGCAAATAATTGGATACTGGGGAGATGGCCATAGACTGAGGAATGGATGAACAAGTTATGGTATATGAATTAACTCAAATGAGTTAACATATAAAGTGTTCTGAAATATTTAAAGTACTATATAAATGCTAACCATCATCATCATTGTGAATGTGGTGAAATACTATTGGGACATGAGAAATGATGAAGGAGACATGAATGTGGTCATGTCTTAGGGCTACAATATTTCAGTGTTTATAACTGGACCTCTAGAGACCTTCCTCCTGTTCCTTAGGGGAGCAAACCTATCCAGCTTTAGGCCTCAACCCAGGAGAATTGCTCTAGATCAGAGCATGAGTAAATCAATCTTCTCCTCAGTACTATATACCTAGCCAAACCCAGACCATGCTTTCTCCCACCCAGGACACCAGGGCTAGCTGGTGTGGGCATCTTACCATCTCCCCCACTGAGACATGTACCTCCTCCCCACCTCCCCTTTCAGGAAACAATAATCAAATCAGTATTACCACTGCTACTGGAAAGGATGATTCAATTTATTACCTATATCTCCACTTAGAATCCTTTAACTGCTCCAGACCAAAGTTCCCTTTCCAAGCCAGCATATATTGTATCCTAATAAAATATAAGGTCTTTCATGACAGGGATTGAAACATGTTTATATTTGTATTCCAAGTACCAACCACATGCTGATATTTAGTAAGTGTTTAATAAATGCTTGTTGATTAATTAATCAGTCAAGATGCTTTTTTAAGATCACCAAAAAGTAGACACAGCTAGATCTTATATTTTCTATACTTCTCAGTTAGTTATGATTGTTAAGATAAGCTCTGCTACCAAAAAAAAAATGTCTATGAATGCCTGCCCTCTTATATTTTAACCAAGGATATCTTAGATGTCTGCATAGACTATTCTCATTAATATGAGAATCGAGCATATGAATCAATAGCTACTAATATCTGTTCTGTCACATTCTTATAGTGAAAGTATTGTGCATGATTTTTTTATGTTCTTATAGAATCTTCCCCTTCTTTCTGATTGTTTGAATTTTTCCCTAAGTGCCTTTAAAATTTTATTTGGTTAGGTCCAATTGCTCTTCCCAATTTTATATTCTTTATTGATATTATGTTTTTTTATATAATGCATGAGATGTTAAGTAAGTAAAGTCCAAATGAAATGATAATAATAACAATAACTAACAAGATGCTGAGGAAGTAAAGTCCAAATGAAATGATAATAATAACAATAACTAATATTTATATAGAACTTTAAGGTTTACAAAACACTTTACATATATTATCTCATTTGATTGTCATCCCAACCCTGTGAGATAGTTGCTATTATTATCCCCATTCTACAGATAAGGAAACTGAAACTGAGAGAGGTAATGAATGACCCAGTTAGTAAGTAGAGGAGGCATGATTCCAAATTGGGTCTTTCTGTTGCCAAGTACGAATCTCTAACCACTGAACCACCTAGTTGCCCAAATAATAGTTTCACTATTGTTCTATTATTGTTGGTAGTGATGTGTTCCTTTTCACGACTGTTTTTCGTCTTTCTCTCTTAACTTTATTTTACAATCTACAAATGTTCTTGGAATGATCTGTCTTCTAATACCAATTCCTTTCTTCCCTTTTCCCCTTCAACTGTTTCTCAATGTTTAATGAAACGATGTTGTTCATAATCCTCTGTCATCATCCTCTGTGCTGTTTATCAAATGAACTTGTACTCTAGACAAGTCTTGACCTTGACTGCCACATCTCTTCCACTTGACAAGGATTGATTTTGACCTTTACTCTAGCCAGTCAATGATTTGAATGCATACAAATGGCTGAATCTGAAATTGCTCCTATGTTAGTAATTATTATTTCCCATGTCTTCTTGGGAAGGTTTCCTGGAGGAAGTTAGAGTTTAGGAGCCTTTTGAAGGTTGTGATAATTATAAGGTGGGTAGGATGGGCCATGCATCCCAAGTGGTAGAAAGATAAGCTTTCAAAGGGTAGGCACAAAGATTA